CCTATGAACTCGTCAAAGAGACAAGTAAAGCCAATGCCTCGACAACCGTTCTGCTGGAAATGGTTACACTATCACTCCTCTTTCTGTCATTGTCTGTCTATCTACTCCCATAACAGAGGCCACAACATCTTGGTCTTCATATCTTCTAATTTAAAAGGCCTACTCGGCTCTATCCTGCATAGCATATCTCCTCCTTAAGCATCTACAGCAGAGGTGAGGATGTAAAGATAGAGATAGAATTATATGGTCTGACCCTTTAATGGTAGAAAGACGAATAAAATAATTCTCAAACTATCGATACAATCGTATGCGTTTCCATTCCTTTTTAGGGTTGTTTTGTAAGTTATTAAATCCTTTAGAGTGGAGCCAGTTAATTTTCTTGAATGCTGACGTACCTCTCATGACGTTTTAAAAAAGCGGCTGCAAGGGATTTGTACATTGGCCACACCCAGACACAGAAGAAAGACAGTTGCCTGGGAGCTGTGACTGCCGTCATAAGATACTGATGAATCTGTTTTTCGGCGACTTTTCGCAAATGATGACTTCTTGTTATGGCGATGTCTGTCACCGCGGGACAGTCAAAAGGTTGTTGCGCCGAGATTTTCTTAACACAAAACAGCAGTAACAGCGCCAAGGCAACTGTCATCATTCGGTGTCCAGGTGAGGCCAATTAATAAATCCCCTCCAGCCGCCTCGGCAAACGAAATGAAGAGTAGGCCAGCATCAATCAAGTGAATAATTCTTCGAAACCCACCTCCTCTTCATATTGTCCACATTGTGTCTCAGACAAATAAACAAGTGCAACCTTACCTTTAAGGCCGGGTGAAGTGTGTCTGGACCATCGTAGACCGGATCCTCCCACTCGCGGTCCCGAATGAACTGCTTCCGCTCGCAGGCGTCCATCTCCATGGCCCGCGGGTTCTTGCGTGTGTAGTAGTGTGACCCGTTGGAGCCAAAGCGGGTCTTGGCATCGCAGAACGTGGGTTGACTAATGACGGCGGCAGAAAAGGCGGACTTTGGCAGACGCTCCACGGCCTCGCTGGCTTCGGAGGAGGAGATGACGCGCCGGCGACGCTGGCCACGACTGGTCGGGGTCTGCGAGTCCTCGGCGTCAGTTGCCACCCGACGCAGACCTTCCATGATCGAGAAGAGGTTGGCCGGACGTGGGTTGACGCGCGGCTCCGTCGCGTGACTGCCGAGCACTCGGGAGACAGCGTAGAAGTTGCTATTGTACGGCTTGGACAATGCGTCGATGCCGTAGACGAGATGGATGTCGTCGCGAGTGGCTGGTAGGCTTTCGACGTAGTCAACCAACTCGTCCTTCAGTTGCCAGCCCTTGTGACGCTTGGCCGAGTACAAAACGTCCGGTTGCATACTGAAAGTGAGAATTGTGCGAGCTTAAGTTGGTGTGAGGCTGGCCTCATTCAAGAACGTGGCTAAATGGTATTTTGTGTGCACCAGCCTACTGAGACGGCACCGGGAGGGACAGCAATCGAGGCGATATTTTGGAAGGAGTCATCGAGGAGTCTCTTGATTTACAACTTTTGAAGAAGAAATTCGTAGGTCGACCCCATGGAAAGACGACGACAAATTCCTCCTGACCAGATATCAGTCGGCTTTACTCCGACCTTCTGGTTGACGATACTCTCGAGGCAACCATTACTGCAACTACTTCAGGCTAGTAAGTCAATAAAACTCAAATTTCTGCATCGCACAATTTCAGCTGGAGAAAGGTAAACGGTTTGGTTAGTTCAGGTCATATCTTCAATTGGAAAGGTTTCGAAGCTACCAGTAGATCTTCAATAAGCGCTGTTTTCTACAATGATATGAGTAGGAACCGATGCCAAGCCTGGACAAGAATATCTATTAGTAGGCAGCCTACGCGAAATTCAACGACACCGTAAGATCCACTCATATCATTAATGAAAAATGCATCACTTTATGCGACCTAGAAGATACAGCTCTTATTCTACATATATTCTTAGTTTCGAAACCTACTAATTTTAAGTTATATTTAGCGCCATCTTTAAACGATTGTCTTTCTATTGTCAGCTCAGCCATACTGTATTTCGGCCGTTTAAAATAGGACAATTGGTAATACTATTCGTTTCTTTTCTCTCTTCGTATCGGGGCCTCCATCTTTAAAAGTGCAAGCATTTTATAATTTAAAGACAATCCACGTCCTTCTTCGTAACACAACAAAGTAAAAGTAATGCGCTCGATTGCGATAGCAAATACAAGTCTACTTAGTCGACAATCATATTTAAAAAAATGCGAAATGGAAGGTTTGGCTTTCTTAAAATTCACGAATGTCCTGTAACCCGCTGGCTTTCTTGTTAGTGTGGCATAGTGGTAGCATGTGGGAATTGTACGCTGTACTAA